TTTTAACAAATAATGAATTTACATTTTGTCACTTTACAGAATAAAAACCATACAATAACTCAACCTGCAAAAGTCCAGCAATACACTCAACTATATATTATGGTGGCATGGCTCTGTGGGGTAACACTGACGGAGCAGGTTTGTTTTGGGGTGAGATTTTAGGGAAAGGAGAGCGTCTACAGCCAGGAGGTTTTGCAGGCAGGGTGTTCCAGGGGTGGGGGGCAGAACAGCTGATAGCCCTGGCCCCATGGAGGACAGTTACGCTGGAGGAGTGGAGAGGATTTGGGTGGATACAGTATTTCCTCCAGGCCTACAACTCTTAGCTATCACTGTTATTTGTTTAGATGTACTGTATGTGTGATTGTTTGTATGTACTGTATATATGTATGTATGTTGTGGCCATACTTGCATGCAAAATCTGCTGCCTAGAGTCTGGTGTGTGTGTCCAACCACCACCAGGGCAGCTGTGACTGCAGAAGTAGTTTATCACCACCGTGTATAGAGTGAAAGAATAATGACATGTGAAGCGTGTCCTGAAAATCTTGATAAAAACCCAATGCATTATTATGTATTTATGTATTTATGTGTGTGTGTGTGTAATGTATGTAATGTGTGATCTCAGAGAGTGAAAATCAATGACTGTTTTTCTGATGTTGTTTCTGTGAGCACTGGTTCTCCTCAGGGATGTATTTTGAGTCCTTTGCTTTTTACTTTGTACACTCACGATTGTGTGTCCTCCTCTGACTCAAACTTGATCATTAAATATGCTGATGACACCACCATCATCGGTCTCATCAGTGACAATGATGAATCCTCTTATAGAGCAGAGATACAAAATGTGGTTCAGTGGAGTAAAACTAACAACCTCCAGTTGAACGCATCGAAAACATGTGAACTGGTCTACGACTTCAGTCGCAATAGTTCTCATTTGCCTGTCGTAATCGACAACTCCCAGGTGCAGATCGTAGAGGAGTGTAAGTTTCTGGGTTTAACTCTGTCTAACGACCTGAAATGGGTTAAAAACACTGACCGAGTCGTTAAGAAAGCTCGTCAGCGTCTCTACTTTCTGCGTAAACTTAGAGAATTTACCACTAACTCTAAGATTCTGCTTAACTTTTATCGCTGCACCATTGAGAGTTTACTTGTTGGTTCTGTGTCTGTGTGGTTTGGAAACATCACAGATAAAGAAAAGAGAGCTTTAAACAAGGTGCTCCGCTCTGCAAAGAGGACCGTGGGCTGTGAGCTTCCTGTTCTGGAGGTTCTTTATAAATCCAGACTTTTAAACAAAGCTCTTAGGATTTTTAATGACTCTTCTGGCCACCCTGGGAAAGCCATGTTCCAGCTTCTTCCCTCTGGCAGAAGATATCGCTCTCTGAGATGCAGGACATCTCGTTACACTAACAGTTTTTATCCACAAGCTGTTATCAGTGTGAACAGAGCACTTTAATGATTTGCACTAGTTTTGAAACTGTTTTAGTCGATCGATTTCACAGTGACATTTGTTTACTGTTTTATTTGTTTTATTTTTGTCTTTTAATGTTGTTTTATGTCTATATTTGTCTGTGCACACTGGAGACTTTTGCTAATGTATTCCAATGTGTTTTTTTTTTTTACTGCAAATGGCAAATAAACTGAATCTGAATCTGAATCTGTGTGTGTGTGCGTGTGTGTGTGTGTGTGTGTGTGTGTGTGTGTGTGTGTGTGTGTGTGTGTGTGTGTGTGTGTGTGTGTGTGTATGTATGTATGTGCTCTTTCCATCCCATTGTTAAGTCTGTCATGTCTGTATTGTAGGACAGGCTTCGAAACACAGAATGCATTATATTTTTCAGCCTTATTAACCCCTGTATAGAATGGAGTTATGTAATCCTTTATTCCTGCTGGAGTGATCCATTACAAAACAGAAACCAGTGTAAAAACAGGTGATATGTTTTTATTTTTCAAAATCCTCCCTCTGAGTTAGGACCTGCAGTAAGTGCACCTCAACTTTCAATCCAGAGCTCACACCAATGCCTGTTTAGAGGAAAATGGGTTCTCGTCATAACTTTCCTTGCTAAAAACTGGGACCGATATAATGGAATAAATATATATTAACATCTATATATAAAATACACAATTATTCACACACTTTTCAAAAACGTTGAGATCATTTTTGAACCTTTGTCATTTCATTTTGCTCAGAAAGAGGTATTTTCTTCCTTTGTCAAAGCCACATAATGATACCTACTGTTCTGTTTGGGTTGTGCTATGTGTGGGTCATCTGTTCTGTTTGGAGAAATAGCTTGTTGGTACAAAATTACAAATATATAAAGAAAAATAAATACAATGTGCTGTTTGTGATTTCATTCCATTATGACTGAAACCCACAAGCCTCAAGCTATTCTTTCCCCAACAAATCACTCGTCTTCCCTTTCATCTTCTCTGTTTAGACACCAGCTTTTTACAGTTTCATTTCCACTCAAGAAAACAGTGGAATATGTGCGGGTAAAAGTTTCTTGCAGCTTCCGGGTCATCAGTTCCATTGGGTGGTAAGTTTCTCGTCATCTCCTCTTTGCATTGCGGCTGCTTTGTCAGGAGTTGCTAGGGAACATCTCAAGGTATCATGAATCACGCAGGAAACTGACATTGCTTGAAAAAGTATTCAACAACGAACCTTTATCACTATCTCACTTTCATTATCACACACATTGGTTTATGTCTCCGATAGCTTTTCACACCTAGAGGCTGGTTTTCCCCCAACGCCCCCAACGCCCCCACCCTCCTATTCTTCTTTGTTAAACATCTTCAAAATAAACCAGGTTGGAATACAATATTGACAATTGTCTCATATACTCCACCAGAATCAGAACTGGAGCGAGTACTGGAGTCGGGACTGCAGGTAGGTCTAGGGCAGGTCTCGAGAAGCCCTTCTTGCATTCTCAAATCTGGCAGAAATGTCAGTTTGGGCGGTGGCTGCAAATTTGAACATGTATATCTCAACTAGCTAGATTAGCACCTTTTGGATGACCTCGCTCAGGGGTATTCAACTTGGTCCTCAAAGACCTGTGTGGCTGCAGGTTTTCATTCCAGCCAAGCAGGAGCAAATCCATTTCCTCTAGTTTCAGACTTGATTCACTTAGAGCAAGGGTCTCAAACCAGTTCCAGAAAGGGCTGCAGGTTTTACTTCCAACAGTACTAAACCTAGCAGGAGCACAGATGACTCCACCCATTTCCTCAGGTGAGTCCAGTTTTAACCTGAAGATTTGAGGAAATGGGTGGAGTCATCTGTGCAAATACAGTTCAATAAAAAGTACAAGTTCCCAACGTAGTTACAGTCCCAGTCATAATGTACAAGATACAATATCAATAACATTTAGCAGCAAATGGAGAATGTGCAAATTACTGGTATAAGGTGCAATACAAAGTTCAGTATTTTATATTTTCCTTATTTTATATACTTAAGGAAATGGGTGGAGTGTGGTTTGCTCCTGCTTGGTAGGAATGAAAACCTGCAGCCACAAAGTCCTCTGAGGACAAAGTTGCACATCCCTGGTCTGGATGGTTTATCGCCAGAATCCTGTTCCTGTCAACCTTCAGGATGTTGATGCAGCCCTCACAAGAGAGGAGCACCAATCAGGTCACAGCTGACTCTGGGGTATTAGATAAACTGCTCTTCTTGATGTTAACCTGAATATTTTCCTGCAGTTGTTGCTGTTCTAATAACCAACCTAACATTAATTATGTATTGATAGAATGTCAGGTGGTTAAAAAGCTTATCGGCATTTATTTAAGATCAAACTCATCTTAACCCACACTTTTCACAGTAGATAAAGGTGGATATTGCTGTCATCTGCAGATTGGCTCTATTTGACTGTAGAGTAACCAAATTTGGGTTTTATCATTTCCCATTTCACAGCTTAGAGAAATGCCACCGGAAATGAAATTTAGGGACCTGCAAATAGCTACCCATATTTAATAACTTTCAATTAGCGTAGCCTTTTTCAAACTGGTCCAGGTTCATACCAGACTCTTGATATGAGGGAAAAATCTATTTTTGAATCTATCACATTTAAAGGAGTTTGATGGTTGAACATACAGGCACATTGTCAAGTATTTTAATTTATCGGATGTTACTTTTTATGTTCACTGCAGAAAATAAAGTGTCACTATTGAGTGGATTATTAACAATATATTCATGGAAACAAGCTGAATCAGGCTCATGGCAATGCACGCCCACACTTGGCTGTGTGATTAATTGATTGATTGAGTGAATGATTGATTTTTCAGAGCCAAATGGAGCAAGAATGTATTTTGTATGGGGTTTTATGTCACGTGGGATGTGATAAAAAGAGTAAGCATTGTTGATCATGAGAAATTGTGTATATTACTTTTTCCCCCAAGATGTCTTTCTTAATGTAATTCAAAATATACAATGGCCATGAATAGCAGGACACATGTTGCGCTTGGATCATTTCACTGTTGTTGTTTTTTCATAGTCCAACAACCCCTCAAACATTTACATTTTGCCTCTGACATTAGAAATACCGCATGCATTATCAACTTGCCTGTGGCATTCTTTCTCTTTTTTTTCCAAGTTGTTCACACTGGTATAATCTGCCTGTGCCTTACCTGTCAATATAATGTGAGCTATGTGAAACACCTCAAAGCGTTGGCTCTGGAAAGTTTTCTGTCCTGATGTCACTGCGCGAGTGCTGCGATCCTCCAATGCGCACAGCCGAGGACGCACCAGTGGCACAAGCTTCCCCGTCTCCGCATCCCCCACCTGAGCGCGTTTATGTCAAAGCCTCCTGAGCCTTTTTTTTCATCGTGTAAACTTTGTGCGAATTAGGTAAGGCGTTTTTTTGCTTGACAATTGCTATGCCCTTTCCTTGCACGCGTCCTACCGCTGCTGCTGCACTTTGGAGACGTGTTGCTCCTCGCTCCTCTCCGTCTTGTTTGCCTTGACTTCGCTTGAGCGGTCGCCAGCTTACGCCCCGTGTCCTTTCCTCTCTGCAGCTGGCGCGATGGCGAACGGAGTGGTCCATATTTTCAAAGAAGAGCGCTGTCCCTCTGGTCACACTGAGGACGAATGCCTTCCAAACTTTACTTGGCCGACCGCGCTTTCGGATATGTTCAACTACACACCCAACGGCACCTGGGACTCGGACGCAGAGCCAATGTCGCCCATCATCCCTATAATTGTGGCTGTGTACTCCGTGGTGTTCGTGGTAGGCTTGGTGGGAAACTGCCTGGTCATGTTTGTAATTATAAGGTAAGCGAGCAAGCACTAGAAAAAACACATTTTTTTATGATAATGTCAGTCGTTTTAACCCGTGCATAATTGTGGGGCGTAATTAAATGGCATTTACAGAGGATGCAGCTTGTTATGCAGACGCGCTAATGCACAGAGTTTAGGGGCCAGACCACTGAACAATTTCACACACACACATTTAGATTTCAGCACCAGGAACTGTCCATTATCTGCCCTTTACATGATGCAGGCTGTGAGAGAAACGGTTGGCGACTGAGTATCCAGTTTTAACAACTCTCTATATCCATAACCCAAATCCTGGTCCTATATATTCAACATATAACGATTAATAGATTGTGGTCGTGAGATAATGAGACAAACCTCATGAGGTCCAGTTTCTTTTGATTAAAAACACTGCTTTTAGGCAACAACAACACACAGGCCATTGAATGATTGGGACATGACAGAGGGGGTGGGACTGGACTCTGTGTGTTAGTTCCAGCTCCTTTTATGGTGATTTTGAATGTTCTATCTTCCCACCTACCAACACAATCAGACATCATTACCCTTCACCACTGTGCAATCAACATCATACAGCTGCAGTTTATAGTGTGCATATGTATCTTTTTTTGTGTCTGCGTATAAGAAGTATTGTATTTTATTATAATCCGTGGGCTTTGTTAGAGAAGATACAGTACATCTGTGATTACTGTCAAAACACATTGTTACCAAACAGGAGATGTATCTAGTTTTCTATACAATAATTCTCACTATAGACACAGCTCCAATCCCAAAACATTTCAGTTCAGTCCTATAATCTTTTTTGTTCGGTATGGTATATTTCATCCTCCATAAATCAGTTCTATATAAAGTACTGTTTCTTGTTATGATATAATCTCCTCTGTGGATCAGAATATGTCTGTGGTTAATTTCTACTTCATGTCACACGATGAAATGTTTTTGCTCAGGCTGTTTTTATTTGTTGATTTCTGAGCTGGCCCTTTTCGCATCCCAATAAACGCTGTCGCTGTCAATTAGCCACCTCTGTCAACACAATGTGCCGCATGTCTTGTGGGACTGTGGCCTTTGTGGATGTGGGCTACGTGGGACACATAAAACTGCACTAATTCTGAGGACAAGCCGTTTCGGGACAACAAATGCACGAGCACAGCAACACTCACCTTAATCAGTTGTAGTACATACATACACAATGCCAGTGCAAAAGTGCCTATATACAAGTGTGAACATTTGCACATTTTGTCAAGTTACAATGACAAAATGTTAGATTCATGATGGATTACAAATACAAAATGCAAATTGAAACAGGTTTTTGCTGTATCAAAACAAATAATAATTAAAACTTGAACCAGACCAAACAGCATTTCCCAGAGTGCATGAAATTGCTTTTAAAATGTTCTAATGATTGCTGAAGGCTCATATTTTGCTCTATCAAAGAAATGGATCCCATCGGAGTGTAATCTACTATAATTACAGCGGTTCTGTGATGGGTGCCTCACAGAAGTTCAAGGAACCACCCACAGAGGTCAGGGATGAAGTTGACCTCTGCCCACTCCTGGTCATGGACTATTTATGGACTCATCTTTTTGAAGTTGATCTTTTATCTTTATTGGTAATGTGTCCAAATTACCGATAAAATACAAATATTAGTCAAATGCTACACAAATTTGGTCTTAACGGACAAGTAGCAAATAGAAGGCACCATCCGGTTAGTGTTACCGGTGTTAATGTGATGGCTCTCATGTAATGGTGCTGCTTTTCTGTAGCAGTGACAGGGATGAGTGTCAGAGTTAATGGAAAGGTGAATGGAGCAGATTACAGAAGGATCTTGCTGAAGTCAGAAAACACTTCAGTCCAGACTGACTGAGCTTGTGCTACAGAGTCATAGCCCCAAGTGTTATTTTTTATAATAACAAAATCACTTATCATTTTGCTTTCACTTCACACTTGATGGAACCAGACTATGTTTAACTCTATTAGGTCATTGTTAAGTCATCAACACCAAACATGGAATTGTCACCCCACTCTCTTATGAGTTGCAGCACAAGACACGGTCTTGTTTTTCATTAACAACAAGCATTGATGTAGTTGACATGATTTCTTTTTAGTGAAAATACCTTTAGAATTCATTTTAAAACCGAAAATGCAATTAGTAATAGTTTAATGAAAAGTTTGATAATTGGCTCTACAGTCTACAACCCGAGTCCGGTTTTTCAATCCAATATTAACGGAACTATTTTTTTGTTTAGTAAAACCTTTTGTACCTTCCGCAGAAAAGTACGTCTCTGACATGTTAGTGCCATATGAACCAACTCGGACTCTGAGGAGCACAGGGACTGGTCTCCTGCTGGGGCCCAGGGTCAGGCTGCAGCGTTTCAGATTTATGCAGCCACAATCTAGAACAATAATCCTGAAAATGTGAGAAAGGCTTCTGTTTTACAAATCCAGGTTAAAACGGTTCTGTTTAGCTGTGCATTGTATGGCTACTGTTATTCATGATTTTAATGCCTTGTATAATTGTTTCTATATCTAATTTTGTTAAACACTTTTATTGCCTTGTGTATGAACCGTGCTATACAATTAAACGTGCCTTGCCTTAATCCTAAACCATTTACCCATAGATACACCAAAATGAAGACTGCCACAAACATCTATATCTTTAATCTGGCCGTAGCCGACGCCCTGGTCACCACAACCATGCCGTTCCAGAGCACAGACTACCTGCTCAACTCGTGGCCTTTCGGAGAAGTGGCCTGCAAAGTCTTCATCTCCATCGACTACTACAACATGTTCACCAGCATCTTCACCCTCACCATGATGAGTGTGGACCGCTACGTGGCCGTGTGTCACCCCGTCAAGGCGCTGGACTTCCGGACGCCGCTGAAAGCCAAAATCATCAACGTGGTCATATGGGTTTTGTCGTCCGGAGCCGGGATCCCCGCCATGATCCTGGGCAGCACTCAGACCAACAACGGTAAGAGTTCATGTCTGTTTGTTTTACTGTATTGTCAAAAGTACTGCTATAACATCAGATATTAAACCTGGAGTACATCACTTCTTTTTCAATACAATCCACTTTATTTATTTAACACATTTTATAAAACAAGTTTCCAAAGTGCTGCACAGAGATAAAAGTAACACATTTAAATATACACATATATTTCATATGTTTAAAAAAAATAAATAACAGTAAAACATTATGTTCACAGTAAAAACAATTAAATTAAACAATTTTAAAATAAAACTAAAACTAAAAACAGTAAAATAAATAAAACAAATAAAACAGAGGGCCACACAACTTTTGTTTGTTTCATAAATATAATCTGTTTTCCCCAACAGACAGAGTTGTTGAATTGACATTTTATGAACAAATCAGAACACATCATGTTGTGCTTTTGATCATTTACTGAGAGCTGATTCGCTGAGAGAGGGCTGGTACGCTCTCTTTTGCAGATAAAGCAAATATACAGATGTGACCGAGGCCAAACATACAGTACATGCATGGTGGCTGAGCTTCTCAGCAAGAAGGTCCGAAGGTTTGAATCCCGGTCGGAACAGGGCCTTTCTGAGTGTAGTTTACATGTTATCCCCGTGTCTGCGTAGGTTTCCTCCGGGTGCTCCGGTTTCCCATCTCTGTGTGGAGTGGGAGACAAATGCCCACAATCGTAAACGGCTTTGTGACTCTGATCTGTGAAAGGCAGTATATTAATAAAGATGACTTACTTACATGTGAAAACTAGTGATAGAACCAACAGTGTTGAGAGCTAGTAACTACGCACATTTCATAGTTAAATGTCTGTGGTTTCAAAATTAGGAACTCCAGCTTTAATTCATACTAAAACTAGAACTTTTAAATCACTTCTCAATACTCACCCGTTAAAACTTGCATTTCTATAATTTAGATAGATGGAGTGAGTGATAGATACTTTAGTGATGCCCCATAGGAGAAATGTAGGTGTCCAGCAGCAGAAATACATCCTTTCACACAAACATCAATTAACACATGATTCTAAAAGTTACTAACAATTTCATTATGTTTTTGGAAAGCGTCTCAAAGCGTGTCCAAAAAAGGCAGTGTACACGGTTGATGCATTATATTTATATTCATATCTTTCACATTCTCCGGAGTCAGACTCATTTTGGTCCACTTTCTTTTGCATTATCTTGGTATTTTTGACTTAAATGGTTTTGTATATTTACCTTGAGTTTCATCAATGACTGAAATAGATCATTTAAAGGTGGAAGGTGAGTCTCTGTGTTGAAGTACAGTGTGGTGTGATGAGGGCTCAATTGAAAAGCTCTACATCACTCTGCTCTCTTTAATAACAGCCCTTTGTTCAGCTAAACCAAAGTGTTTCTACCTTGTTTTTGACCTTCAACATAGATCTTCAACATAGAAGTCTTTTATCTTTTTAAATTAGTTCATGCTTTATTAATACCTCAATAATACCTGTTTTTCTGTGAGCAACATGCCTCAAAATGTTATGGAAGGATTTGGAGCGATGGTAGCCCATATTTACCATTGACTGTATAGAGATGGACAATGCTAAACCTCTAGCTTGGAGAAGCCCAATAGGGAAATGCTCATGGACGAAGTTTTGCTCTAACTTGCTCTGACTCATATTGACCTAAAATGCAAAGTAAATTCTTCTCGCTGAGTAACCGTTTGTGTCATACTCATATCATGGACATTTTTTGTGTTTTTATCTTGATACTATCTTATCCAGATATGAGTCATATCAGAATAGACCAATCAGATCAAACTGCAGCTTGCTTTTGCAACCATGTTAGCAACACCTCTGCCCCTGTTACTTCATTGGAACAAATGCCCAAAGAAATTGGCTCCAGTTAGCTTCTTCAAATTGGCTTCCTCTGCGGTGACGCCAACATTCCACTGCTAATATGATACTAATGATAATGATAATCAGTTCATTACTATCAGTGCTTACAAGTTAGTAATAATACCCTTGTGTACCCATAGGGGTCCGGTCCGTGCACCCCTGGTTGGTTAACACAAAAATCAGTATTGAGGATCAGTGGTGACTTTATCTTAGCCAAAACTTTCAAAACGGTGCCATAACAGGGAAAAGTAATGTGCCAAGACCAATCAAACACACACAATCATTGACATTCTGTGATTCTGACTTCTATCCTTAAAAATTCAATGTTCAGATGAACTAAGTGGCCCAGAACTCGCCGGAGTGTCTGGCCCTAAATGTCAGAAGTCATGCAAAAGACCATAGAGCATGTTTTAGGTTTAAAGGGCGTTTCTTAATTACCTCATATTTCAGACACGTCCCTGCTCCCATTAGCCATATTAACAAGTTCATCGTGGTCCTTGCATATCATCACAGCTTTCACTGCTGCCCACTTAAAGCCGGGGTTAATAACCTTCAAACCGCAAAAAATGTAGCTTTGTAATAGAATAAATCTAACTCATTCCTTGCGTTCAAATCAGTTTGGTTCCATATAGTTTCCATATGTGTTTCTGGCCTCTGTCACATCTGAGATAATATGTGTATAAATTGCTTAATTTTAGTAGTGAAAAACTAAAACCAATTTTGGGTTGCATTGATTTGAATATAGGAACTGTCCTGGGAGTGCTGGCGTTAAATCAGATTTGGGTCATCACAATAAGCTGGTGTAAATATTCAAAATAATAAATGATAAAATACAGAACTTGTATCATGCCACTGTGCATTATGGCCATTGGAAAAGCCTCTTTATATTAGATTAGATTTTATTTATTATTGACTTTGCAGGATACAAGCTAAACAAACATTACATGCTGCCAGTAATCATGCAATATGCCGAGTTTATATTAGAAAAGACAAATTATATCTTCAAATCTGCAAACCAAATTTTGCAGCGTAAAAAGCCACCAAAGATAATCAAGTATATTTCAAATTACACCATTAGAAGAGATGTGTTGTTTGTAAAGCTCTTAAACTCTCAATTCCAATGTCGAGGTTCATTTTCATGTGGAAAATACTCTGCCATGCTGAAAGCTCCAAACTGGAGTGGAACACAAATGGTCTGTCAGAATTATCTCCGCTTATCCCACTGAGAAAGTGCCAGACGAATGGACAGCTGCAATTTGAAACAGCTCATGGTGGACACAGATGTGGAAGAACACACGTCTGCAGTAGACTTTCCACAAAACCTCCCAAAGACACTTATTGTCTGAGAAAAAATATACCAGATAAGTTTTGTTTTTTTCTTGCTAAAGCTGGGCTATCTAACTTTTTTGTTCCATAAATAACACATGCTCTTTGTCCAGCCGTGTAAAAGTAGTATGTTGTGTCTGACCACCACATGCTGTCTTAATCTGATTGGAGAACAGGTTATGTTTTGTATACTTGTAAGAAATGAAAGAAAGTTACAATTTATTGTTTTGGGCTCAGAGGTGGATGGCTGAGTGTGTCAAGTGGTGATGGAAGGACCCCAAATTCAGGAATGCAAAATAAGAATAAGAATAAGAAAACTTTATTGTCCACCAAGGTGGAAAATTGCCTTTGGTTATCACCTTAAAATACATAAAAGACACACATCCAGCACAATATCATGGCACTACATTAACAGAACAATTGGAAGAACAAACCAACAAGACCACCTCCGGCCTAAAGACAAGAGTCAAGCTCAGGACTGCTCAAAGCTTAAGAGTGTTTACCGCTTTCACTGCTCTGGGCACAAAGGAGTTTTTAAAAATGTTTTTCTTAGCTGATCTCACTCGATATCTCCGTCCTGACGGCAGAAGTTCAAACTTTGGGTTTAGCGGATGGGAAAAATGATGATTCAATGAACATAAAAGTCAAGGCCAGGAACATTAGGGAATAAAGGTCAAAGGTAAAAACAGGTTCCATATTCAAACAGAACACGGGACACAGTAAACCGACAGACGTGGACAAATGACAACGGACCAGCAAAAAGGGGAGAGGAGACAGGAAATCAAACTAAAACAGTACCAAAAAAACTGAAGTCAAAATAAAACCAAATACGAATAGACAACCACACCATGACAGAGTTCTCTCTATTTCACTTTTCTGAAAGAGCTGATCTAAAAATGCAAAAAAAATAAAAAATATATATAGTGAAATAAAACCAAACTGCTTTGAGAGCTTGAAGGTAGTGGATTTTTTCTGTTCAATTCAAAAGTTAGGTACCCCAGCTTTAATCATCCTTTACTATCACAAGAGGTTTTGTGATTTTTTACTTTATTTTAATGCGCAGTTTGTGTTTTTAATCCCATGTGTGATTAGGTTTTTAACAACTTGTGCGATTGTATTTTCTATGCTTTTAATAGTTCTTGAGATCTTATTGTGTTTGCTTTTGTAATCATATTTTTAAATCGTATTTTGGGACGTTTATGTACATTTGAATGTTTATGATTGATAGAACATGCAAGTTTTGGTATATTCACAGGTACTACTGAGTGCGCCCTGCAGTTCCCTGACCCTTACTCCTACTGGGACACCCTGATGAAGATTTGCGTCTTCATTTTTGGTTTCGTCGCCCCCGTCATCATCATCACCGTCTGCTACACGCTCATGGTCCTCCGCCTCAAGAGCGTCCGCCTTCTCTCTGGCTCCCGCGAAAAAGACCGCAACCTCCGGCGAATCACGCGCCTGGTCCTCGTGGTGGTGGCTGTGTTCGTCATTTGCTGGACTCCCATTCATATTTTCATTCTGATCAAAGCTATTCACGCAGACATCCCGGAGACCACGGCGGTGACGGCTGCATACTTTTTCTGCGTGGCGCTGGGCTACACCAATAGCTCCCTCAATCCAATTCTGTATGCATTTTTGGATGAGAATTTCAAAAGATGCTTCAGGGATTTTTGTTGCCACGGCGGACGAGGAAAGGGGGACCTCCATGGGGTGAGTAAAGTCCGAAGCACCCTCAGAGACCACTCCTGTCCCGGAAGCAGGAGGGAAGGCAGCAGGCAGCCCAGGCCCGTATGACTAGCCATGGACGCTCAATCCTCCAGGTCTCAAGGCTGGGAGGACTCCAACGATGCAGGTCTGACTCAGATCACAGCTATGTAAGACAGAACGTGTTTTGTAGTTTTGCATTAACAAGATGAAATTCTCCAGTGAAGGTCAGGCAACATGCACTGTAATGAAGCGCAATTGCCAAAGGGTGCAGTAATCAACATTTTAAAAAGCCCGTTAGATGATTTTTAACAATTTTGACACTTTTCAAGCCTCTGTATTTTCTTTCCTACTGAGGAATAAGAAAATACCTCGAGGCTGAAGATGAAAACGAATGTAGTTCATAATTAAGCACATTTAGTTTGTAGATAAAGTAAGCTTTTACAACTTTATGCAAACCGCGGCTAAGACCATAGACTATATATAGATACATTGCTAATCCCATAGCTCTATGAAGACCAACAGGGAAGAGCTCATGGACAAAGTTTTGCTCCTACTTGCTCTGACTCCTATCGTCTTACAATGAAAAGTAAACTCTTCTAGCCCTTTTACGCTCACCATTTTTGGGCTTAAGAACCCAGGGGTTGGCGCTCTCTTAATCCTGGTCATTATATTGTCTTTGTAAATCCAGGTCTGTGCCCTCAAAACTGACCGATCATTAGACTTAACTCGGCCGTTGCTAAAAACAATATAGCATGCTTTTACTACGCATTCAGGCTCAAATAGGCTGTTTGAGTTAGCTCCTGCATAGGTCCACTCCTAACATACAGTTTCTGAGAACCTATATGAATATGGAATATGAAGTAAGATGGATTGAGAAGTGCTTACAACTCTTTCGTTGAAAAAGAAAGAAAAAAATGAAAGAAAAAAAAACAGCTCATAAATGAATATTGCTATTAATAGAGCAACTATTTTTGAATCTGCAGTTACGTACTCACTGTTATGAAAAGAGGTTTTGACAGAGACACAATACACTACCACAGAGGCCAATCCAAAGTGAAGTAGCAATCATTTGAAGAATAGTAGCGTGTTGCTGGTTTAAGTCTAAAATTGTGTTTCATAATCAAACAATTGACTTCATAAAATGTGAATATGATTACATTGCAACAACCAGTCCTGCCACCCACATTTTCCAGCAGCGTCTCTGTGTCCAGAGACCTTCCAGAGACTTTATATAACAGCAGTATGTGTTCATGGAGCTGCGCCATAAGTTCATTTTATTATTAAACTGTACTTCCGCATTGGCGAACACGCTAGCTGCAGTGGTTTAGTCACTAGAGAATGATAACTCAGGCTGGAGGCTTATGTTCACAAGCACTGTGTCCCCCATTGTCAATCCTGTTTAGTCCTGGTTTAGTCCTGGTGTAGCTCCTGTTTTGGCTGCTCGCTCAGACCGCTAATGTCCCCATCACCACTAATGTGATGGTACTCCCTGGTTCTAGTCAGGAATCGAGCTGAAATAAAATTAAAGAATTAAACAAATATTTATGTAATGTAAATGTTACTGTTTTGAGATCAATCATTCTATTGAACTATTCTTCAAAAAAGCATCATCTTTTCGTCAACTACATGAAATATTTTGTCAACATTTTGAGCTGTAAATAGCGGCATATGTTTGAGCTCTTGTAAACTGCTGTCAACAAAGAATGTGAATAAGGAATGTTTTCAATGTATATGCAGTATGTAACCATGGAGACACACAGTAACTATGGAGACACGCACCGATCACCCGACATTAGAAGAGTTACATGGTGCAGCTTTAAAGACTTTTTAATGTGCATATTATTCAACCTTTTAACAACAAATTCAATGTGTGTTCAACCTTAATGGATTCAGGTAAATGTTTTTTCAACATAATCTATTCTTTCTGTAAAATGTTTGACATTTTTGCCATTTTTTTTTTCTGTGACTATTTTTTGTGCCTTAAATTGCTATTTAGCTAAATTGCCTTGTTATGGTAATGTTAAGATCAGACATACTTTAATATGCTTGTTATTATGGTGTATGAGAAGAATAAATACATTGTTTTCCATATGAGATCTAGACTAAATGAAAAAAGTAATTGCCCGTAATGTAAAATCAGGGCTTTCCATGTGGTAAGTGCATCATTTTGCATTGTGGGTTGACATAGTGTTTTGTCTGTAACTTTGAAATTCCATTCAAACATGTGCAATAAAGAGTAATTGTTATTTGGCTTTTCAGTGTATTATTATTATTAGTTAGTCTTGCCCTGGGACACAATCAGCAACACACAAACAGCGATTACATTTGCTAAACACTCCTCTTGCTCCGGCTTCAGTTTCTTGATAGAACCAGACCGGATTACTTTACTATGACATTCTTCGCCAATTGCCAAACTACAACCGGCCAGTTCGGCGCAAACTCTTGACGTCACCCACAACTAACTTCAACACCCACCTCCCGCGCTCGCTGAGTGGTCGGATGGAATTCAACTGATCGTAATCAGCATGTAACACAGGGACCAGACCCAGACCCAGTTACAAGCAGTGAAATGATAATTGTGCGGAGTGTACGGATGGCTAAGGCCAGGGTCTGCTGTACCCAATTTGGGAGCATTTCCACAGACCCTGTTTATTCTGTACCAGGTACTTTATTAGTATCTGCTTGGCTCTGGTTCTATCCAGGCCAAAATGGTTCTAAAGAGTATAACTAACAATGATAGGCCAGAGTGCTGCTGAAAGTTATGGAAAGTCACCAAGGTATTTCCCTTGATACTGGGAACTTTATGTGGGTAAGCTTCGCAATATTGGTTTCAATGGAATGATATACATTATTCTAAAATCATAAATAATCACAGTACAGTAAAAAGAAAGATTATATATATATATTATTGTTCATTATCTGTCTGCAGTAATCCTTTCCTAATTTTGGTACAGTTGTTCTTTCGTACAATCAAAAATGTAAAACTAGAGACAGAACTTTAATAAACAACTTTTTTATAATATGAAAAATAACATAATCAGATATAAAAAAAATATATAATAACAAAGGAGATCTATGGCAGTAAAGCCTAAAAAAAGGTCTTGACCTCAACCAAAATGAGTATGGTACCCTCACCCATGTGCTGACGAGGGGAACACGGGGCAAAAAAGCAACAAAGGGACACATTCTACTCCCTTTTAAGAATAGTCTCCCGTTTATACAATCATTAATATGCAAAATCAACCCCGCATTTCCCAAAAGCAGATGGCAGAGGAATCCGTGACAAAAAGCTTCTGTCACCTCCCTGCCCCCAACAGGTCTCTCAATCAGCGCTCTTATTAATGATGTTTTCTCCAGTTTGAATCCTGAGTGCCAGGAGCCAAAAGGTGAAGAGATCCATCCACGAGTTGAATGCTTTGACCTTATACACGTCTGAAGGCTGAAATGTCACATCACCGACGGAAAGCTCAACACTTTCATCTTGAAATGAGGGAGGCTAATTTAGGCACTATATTAACTCACATATTCAGAGGATAGAAGAAAAAATTGAATGTGTCACTAAATGTAATAATTGTAAAGTTGACTTGGAAAAAAACCCTTTCAGAACATTCAGGGCAAATGCATAAAAATCTGGCCTTTTCCATCTTTTCTTCAGGAAATATAAAACAAATATATTTTCTAGATGATGCAAATTTTGTGGCACCACCAGCATGTGCAGAGCCTGATCCTGAGCAGCGGAGGGCCTGATCAGGACTGTGATGGGAGACCCTGTGACCAGGTGTCACAGTGGGGCGGCTGCAGCTGTAAAGTGCCAAACTGTTGTTGCACTTTAGGTTAGACCCTTTTCCCACATTACGTATAAGAAGTCTGGTGTGTGCTTGTGTGTTTGGCGGTGCTCACGAGGCCAATGGAACAGATCAGTTACCTTATAGTGGAAGAATCTAGGAGCGAGAAGATTACTATATAAAATACTTTTTTATTATTGTTTAGTTATTTTCAGGGTTTCAATGATTGAGCTGCCAAGGATTTTTTGGACTTTTATTTGTACAAAGCCTTTTATTATATCAACGCATCTATTTCTTAACACATAATTTGACCCATATCATCTCTGATGTTTGTAATATCAACAAGTACAATTTCTGCGTTTTATTTCGGCTGGTTTCAGACACGTTGGCGTTTCCATGGTGAGAGCGTTAACAGCAGCAGAGGGTTCAAGGCCTCAGATGATTTACCTTTTGAATCCGTGGCCTTGTGGTTGAATGGTAAGTAGACAGCAGAATTGAGTTTATTAAGCGGCACTGTACAGACAGAAAAACGCATTCACATGTTTTTCAGTTTATTTAAACTAACTTAATGGATACATCATATACAAACATGTCGGTATACAAGTGACTCCTATCACACAACAGTTTTACACAGTGAGGCTGTGGGCTCGTGACTTGTCACATGTCAAAGGCAAATGAAATCACTCACCTCATATTGAAAAACACACTGGTGCTAGTTCATTGAGGGTTTGGATGTACTCATCATAGATCCTTTTCTCAGTGGCTTTGGAACATTTATTAAAGCATTTCTCAAGAATGAAACCCATTATGTCAATTCATCCTGAAGAAGTGAAACTGTCCAATCCAAGGCTGTCCCTGTAAAAGCTATCATTCTGAGGCTGACGTTATGGTTGTTTGGCAGTCATGTACATACTGCAGTGCTACAGTACTACACACATTGTACATGGTATAGCAGAGAAGGTTTTATTTACCATATATTAAACACATTAAATTATAATCCTCAGGAATAATACATTGCAATCCCCACCAACAAGGAGGTAATTTAATCGTCTCCATGTGTGCACATGTGTGTGTTAGTGGGTCGGCAGCGTAGGGAAAACTACTGTTGTGTGAGTAACAGTTGCTGGAATATATTTTCTTGTGCTTAGCATTTAATTATGCATTGCATTGTTTAAAAAAAAAATTTGACACTCAAAGATGCATGATTACATGTCATTATTCTTTCTCTCTATACACAGCTGTGATAAACTATTACTGCAGCCACAGCTGCCCTGGGGCACACTGACAGAAGCGAAGCAATCAGTTTGTGCCATCAGTCCACCACCACCATGCATTTATGCACACACTAACTTATTCAGTCGCCCCATTGTGTTCCTGGTGCTCTCTCATCACAGTACTAACCAGGCCTTGCCCTGCTTAGCATCAGAGGACTGACAGGATCTGGCTTTCACATACAGGTATGGCCACATATGAAGATTAATTCAGCTACACTAAACATTAGCCAAATATTTTCTATAGGTCAAACTGAAAGGTAAACATTTCTCACTGATTCCTACTAACTTTCCCCCAGAAATGGTGGCAGCACACAATTCAAGAACAATGAGAGAAGAAAAATCACCCACAAAAAAACTACGAAATTAAAATCTAACTGTTACAAATAAAGTCACCAGCTGATGCCCCACCCCGCACCTGTGTGGTGATCTGCTGGGATAAAAGACCCAGACCAGGCCGGGACCTCGACTGACGAGTGGATCCCGCGGCTGCAGTTCATTTTGTAGACACTTTTTCAATAATCTGTTTAGGATAAGGTTTCTATTTGCACATCTACATTTTTGTGGAATAAACTTGTGTTTCTTTTTGGACTTCTGCTTCTCGTCTCTGTTCCCTGCCTGGTAAATCAGTGATTGAGCCTTCGTCCTAGACACCTTGGGTCGTAACACTGAGATGAAATATTTACAATAATGTTTCAATAGAATAAAGAAGCTCCTTCGCGATGGCCATACGCCTCATTGACACTTAGGATCCATAGTTATTGTTGTTGTGTTGACCAAACTAAAGACAGATAATGGTTACTAGTCATTTCACTAAATGTTATTGACCATGTTGTTAACATTGTATATGACAAATAGATAATCTATCTACAGTATGTGTACATATTGTGTATCATGGAGATTTTTCAAGTGACTCTTTGTTAAACAGGAATTTCAAATGTATGGAGTCTTTCTAAGTGGCACATTTATTTGTACAGCAGTTGAGCCCCTGCTGTCCTGATAGTTCCTCCGAGAGCTGTGGGCTCCATCAGAGAGATAGGTAGATTCTTTATTGATCCTCATAGGAGAAATTCAGGTGTCCGGTATTGGAAAACACATCCATACCAGGGACGTGCGGTGAGGTTTGTGATTGGGGAGGCACTGACTTTAAAAGTCAGATTTACAATCATTATTCAAATAAAATAGCATTTAATCACCAATGCAATGACATCCACAAACTTTATATACTGTAAAGATAAGAGAACCAGCTTCTTTTAATAATCTCACAACAAATCTAGCTGCTGACTCTGCTCCGCATCAAACAACATCTTTAAGAAGCGCAGGTGCGAGAGACGCGAGGAGAGAGAGACGCGAGGAGAGAGGAGCAGAGAGAGACAGAGAGGAGCAGAGAGACGGAGACGCGAGGAGCAGAGAGACAGAGACGCGAGGAGAGAGAGACGCGAGGAGAGAGAGACGCGAGGAGAGAGGAGCAGAGAGAGACAGAGAGGAGCAGAGAGACGGAGACGCGAGGAGCAGAGAGAGACAGAGAGGAGCAGAGAGACGGAGACGCGAGGAGCAGAGAGAGACGGAGACGCGAGGAGAGAGAGACGGAGACGCGAGGAGAGAGAGACGCGAGGAACATAAACAATAATTTAAACAAGTTGCAGAACTCTTGAGCAGTGTTTGAATCAGTGTTTTTCGGAAAAGCACTACTTTGCCGGTATCTGTCAATGTTCAACATAAAACACAGATTAACAAACTCCTCCCCCGCAGCCGGACTAACCTCGTAAGTCCAGTGGTGGTCTCCCAGTCTATATTAATTCTTTCTTTGTTTGAAAGTCCAATTGAGAAAAAAAATCTTCATTCAAATCATCCATTTTCCAGCAAAAGAAATAGCATTTTGGGCTGATTGTTTGTTAGCAACTCTGGTATGAACTTTATGCTCACTATCACCCCTAGCGGTGAGGCACAGATACCGCCTGCCTCACGCCAAGCTTTTTCCTTGTGTGTTCATCTACGATCAAAAGACTTAAACTAAATATAAATTGTACACACATACGTGCAATACACTACTAAACACTAAGAGGAGTTTAAAAAATGTTTTTAAAGCAGGATATTTGAAACAAACGGTGATATATCAACTGCACGAGCTGAGTGCACTCAGACACACACACACACACTGTGAGGGAGCGGTCTGGGGTGAGGCACGCAGGAGCGCTGCCTCACCTCGTCTCTTTGAATAGGAATAACGGGATTTCGGCGATTTTGACTTCAGAAATGATCAAAACTGATGGGAACCGTGCCGAATATACATTAAAAGCATAGGACAGTGGATATAAATTATATATTTAAACTAAAATAATTATTAGTTTCCAATAATGGCAGGTGAGGCTCTGCCTCCCCTGCCTCCCCTGACTGCACGTCCCTGATCCATACATACATCAAGTACATCAATTCTAAACGTTTCTAACTAACTACCCAACAATAGTGCATTTTTTTTTAACTCATACAGGTCTTTTGTACAGTCTGACAACCGAAGGAACAAAGGATCTCATTGATATAAGCCTGTTGCTACGATTACTCCTCTGAGCAGTCATAGTGTCATGCAGGGGGTGTCTGGAGTTACCCAGGATGCCCTGCATTAGAGCCCTCATCCTTCCATCCAGCACAGCTCCCACAGAGTCCACACTTCTCCCCATCACAGAAACACACTTCCTGATCAGCCTGTGGAGCACGTCGCTGTCTCTCAAGGTCAGACTGCCGCACCCAACACACGAGGCTCCTCCAATGGAAATGGGAAAGCTCGAGAACTCTTTAAGCCCTCCGCTTTAAGTTTTAAACACAAACTGAAGTTATAGAACAAGCCAGCTGTGTGACCATCTATGTCTTGAGGGGCACCTGCCTTCTTATAATGTAAATGTAACAATGTAAAATGTGTTTTTAATTGTATTTAAAGTCCTTCTAGGGTCGGACATTGCAAATTAGTCTTGGCTATATATGTTGTCGTGTTGATTGTGTACACTTTTCCCTATCCAATAAGTAGATTAAATAAATAAATAAATAACAGGTGCCACATAATGCATCGCATTTTTGTTACATTTAACTTTTTTTTTTTTTTTTATAGGAACCGAATAAAGTAGATGTTTTGCACTGAATCAATATGACATTAAAATCACAAAAATCTACGGACAGAAAAGAGGCTATTTAATTTGAAGGACAAGAAGAAAAAGGACACAGATTAAGATTAAAACAAATAGCAAATACAAACTACGCCCAAAGATGATTTATTGCAGTCCATCCAGAGCCTAACAAAGACTTTAGCTGAAAACTGAACGGGACAAAAGGCTTTCACAGACTCCTGCTTTACCTGTTACAGCCACTCGATGTCGCCACTGTACTTATGTTATGATTGGTCCCTGCTCTCCTCCTCAGCCAATCACAGCTATTTGCGTCTGTACGCTCACTTCCGGGTGTCCTCAATGAACAAATCCATCCATTAGCATTTTATATTTTCACATTTTTTCCAACAAAAACACAGATTAGACGTCTTCAAAATGAACAGGATTTTCGGACGGGGAAAGCCGAATGCTCCGCCTCCAAATTTGTCGGACTGTATCGGAAATGTGAGAACTATTGGCTCAAATGTCCTGTGATCTAACGGACCACAAAGCTAACCTTACTATTGATGTTATGGATAAAAGACAGCTAACACGCCCTGCTAATGCTAATGATTTATCCCTCAAATACTTAAATACGGCGATAATATTGAAAATATATTTGCTTTTCTGTGTCGTGAATGACTAATGTTTGTACAACAACAGGGATAAATAAATTACGAAATGTACACGGGCTATATATTAAAATACAATAATAGCAAAAAAACACATGTGTTTTTTCTGATCTAAAACAAAACACAATTTCCCTTTTGTGTGCCCCACAGGTGGATGCCAGGGCTGAGTCTATTGATAAGAAGATTAGCAGACTAGACAACGAACTGATCAAATACAAGGATCAGCTTAAAAAGATGAGGGAGGGGCCTGCAAAGGTAAACAAGAACACACTGTTTATTGCACGTGTATAATGCAACCATTACGGTGGTTACACATGTATGCAATTGTACCCATGTTTACTGAGGGGAATTTCTTTTACAGAATACGGTCAAACAAAAGGCAATGCGAGTCCTCAAGCAGAAAAGAATGTGAGTGTGCTTGTATGTCCTGACCTATGATACGATAAGTTCAAATGATAAACACATGTATTAACATTTATGGACATTGATCATCCCATTCCCTCTGGATCAATGGCTTTAATGTTATTATTGTATTTTCCCTTGTTCGTTTGAATTTATGATCTGTTGTTGGTGAATTGACAACTTTTTAAAGCCTTCTGAGACGACAGTGGTTGTGATTTAGAGCTACACAAAATTAAATTGAATTGAATTGAATTACATGATCCGCATACTCAAATCTTAAAGCTAATTGTGCTGATATGGCTATCCCTTGAAACCATACCTTGTGTTGTGTGCTCCTCATTCCTACTGTTATACATATGAAGGATCCTAATCTTAATCTATGACTGCAGAATTATCATAGATTACAGGCAATTGTCATTTGAAAACGTCACATGTTTAGCCCGTGAGATGTAGCATTAATATAGTTCAATATTATATACATTTTGGTAATTGATCCTGAAATTTGTTCAGTTTTGTGTAATACACCCAAAATTGTGTTAAATAAAGAATCCTGGTTTATTTAACCCTGTGGTAAATGTTGATCATTGAAAGATGATCAACATTCTTTTTGTAATTAAGAAAGCATAGTTCTCTTAGCATGTTCGTAGATGACTTTTGTGAGTAAACTGTGTTAAATATTCATGAGTAAACTCAAATGTAACCCTCGTTTGTCCATAACCAGGTATGAAGGGCAAAGGGAACAGCTTTCTCAACAGTCCTTCAATATGGAGCAAGCAAATTATACAATTCAGACACTCAAGGACACAAAAACAACAGTAAGAATATTACTTGTTCATGAATAATATCCTAATAGTCTCTTGTTTGTTTTACATGTTCTGTTTTGGGGGCGAGCTTATACGCTAATGCAGCTTCATGGGAATTCCCTTTTACAAAGCACTTACAAAATCATTGGAAATGGACCTTTATGAATGTTTTGTAAATGAAGAGAATGGAATTGAATGTTCAAGTAAACGTTTACTGTGTTTGTTTCCCCTTTCACTATATTAATGTTTGATTTAGGTGGAGGCCATGAAGATTGGAGCTAAAGAGATGAAAAGGGCTTACAAAGACGTGAAAATAGATCAAATCGATGTAAGTTCTTTCAGTGCAAACATTTTTATTTTCAGCATGTGTTTGCGAATCACGTATAACCAGATAAAGCATAGAGGAATGTGGTTTTAAATATCTGAGGTAAACCCTTAAATGAATGTGTTATTTTAAAACTAGGATAAAATAAGCAGCACCACAATTTAATCGAGAATAATTGTCTTTGTTAAACTTATGTATGTATATCTTTTTAGGATTTGCAGGACCAATTAGAGGACATGATGGAAGATGCCAATGAGGTTCAAGAAGCCCTCAGCCGCAGCTACGGCACTCCGGAAATCGACGAGGATGATCTAGAAGCCGGTATATTCCTTTGTTTTTCAATGCAAATTCTTTTAGAGACTAGACATAAATTAAACATTATGCCTTTTTTCAATTAAGATAATTGGGCTAATCAGGTCATAATGGTTGTAATCAAGAGAGTAGCACTCTCCCGTAACTGGGGCAAGTGTCTTATGTCATGGAAATTTACCATAACAAACAAAATAATTACTCAGTGGGAAAATATGGCCTAAGGAAACTGACAGTGTAGACAGCGCATGTCGGCGAGGCATTTGTAGATCGTAATTCATATCTACAGTCATTTAAATGCTTTTTGGAACAACAAAAATGGAAAGAAAACACTGTAGGGTTGTGGTAGCAGATGCCTGTGTCTTTGTATAATCCTAACTGACTTCCAGCTGGAGGCCGGTGCTTATGGTTCTCATAATGTTTGTGTACAGAGCTGGATGCCCTGGGAGATGAATTATTGTTGGATGATGATAGTTCTTACCTGGATGAAGCCACATCTGCTCCAGCTATTCCTGAGGGTATTCCTAGTGACAGTAAAACAAATAAGGTACCAGTAGTATTAGTATGAATACTTTTAATTGTTGTAAGGTTTAGTATTGTTTCATAATGGCTAAGTCTATAGTACATAGAAGATCTTATTGTTGATTATATTTTATAGTGACTATAAACACTCATTTCATTTTTGTTTTTGTTGCATTTCCATTTTCTGGAAATGCAATAATAACAAACACATAAGGTTGGTCCATAGGGTAAATAATTAAATGTGCATAAATGTCCATGAAAGTTCCTAAATGTTACGGATCATCACTGTCCTGACTAGACCCGCCTGCCTTGGCAAGAAACATCTCAAAAAATCCAGGGGGGAAACAAATCTGGGGAGGCCCATATTGAGAGAGAGATCTGCTCCGCAACTACTGGATATAAAAGCCCGTCTTTTAGATTCAGGACTGAAGAGGCTTGCAGGTGGAATATTAAAGAACCCATTGGCTAAAGCTTTACATGCCACAGAGGGACCAAAACAACAATTGTATTAAACATGAAGGTTGTGTTTGAGTAAACAACAGTTTAGTGAACATGCTGCGAAAGTTGCACATTTATAATAGAGAGCCCTTTGTAGCTATACTTTTTATTCACAAATATTAATTGTCTTTTACACCAATGGGACATAAATGGTTTGCTTATTGCTGCTCTTTCTTTCAGGATGGTGTTTTGGTGGACGAGTTTGGCCTGCCTCAGATACCAGCCTCGTAAACTACAGATGGGAAGAACTACTGCACTTCAACATCACTTTTATCACTTTTACATGTAGAGTAACATTAAAACATACAAATCCATATTGACCTAAAAACACTACATATTTGAAGATGTCATTGCGCTGGGTTGAGTATTGTTATTGGTTACTACTACCACTCTAGCATGAGGCCTTTTGTGAAACTAAAACATTACCTTCCTCTGACACTGGTTTCAAGTATTTTTTGTCTTTTGTTTGTGTTTTATTTAGTGATTTATTGTGTATTTTCGTTGTGTCTGTGAAAAAATTAAAGTTTTAATTATCCTTTGTCTTTTGATAATTTTGATTTAGTTATCAAGATTAAGAGATCTTTTATTCGTTCCAAAGTGGGGAAATTTCTATAAATGTATCTATAGATAAACACGTAAGGGCATGATGGGGGACCATAGTTAGCATTTTCGCTTCTTACCAAGAAGGTCCTGGAATTGAATCTACCTTCAGATGGGACTTTTCAAGTAGGAGTTTGCATGTTCTCCCCGTGTCTGCTTAGGTTATTTCTAGGTTTCCTGCGGTTTAAGTAAGGACGTAAGTAAGTAATCTTCAAGCGGTTTAACAAGTATTTCCCGATCACTAAAAACATGGGAATTTTCAGCAAACCAAAAATTGAAATGCGCTTTGTGTGACATTGGTCTGTGAAAGAAATGTACTACATAAATACAGATTATTTACATACTTTATTGTGTAATATTTAAACAAAGATCGGTTTCCGGTGCTGACCGGAAGTTATTCACTGTAGCTCCTAGATAGCTTTTTTGTTTAGCTTCGTGTTTTCTTCTGCCTTTTTTAAGCCTGTTATTTAGATTTCTGCATTAAACTACAATGTCAGAAGAAGCACTAACAGTGACAGTTTCCTACGGTAATGCCATTATCAATTTATAGTCGGTAAAAAGCAAAAGTTGAAGAAGATGGTTTAACATGGAGCGGACATTTTTAAGCTAGCATGATTTTACTGCATGGATTGTCTTATGAAACCTAATATTAAGAATGATAATACATATAACAGTATAAGTAAAATGTGATGCCTTTGTCCAGTAGTGTATGTTCGAATACCCGTTTATTGCATGAATACATTTCTAGTCTAACAATTATTGACAGTTGTTGATGTGTTTTGTATTAAATTGCATGTACAATGACATCAAATGAAATCAGTCTCTGTTTTTCTTTTACGATCTTTTGTAGTTGTTGTTATACGAGTTTGTTTTCTTTCCCTACAGGCTCTACAAAACACAACATTTCAATATCAGGCAGTGATGGCAATGCTCCCACTGTCAAGGATCTGTCTGATGCTCTCACACAAGCTACAGGTGTTCCTCAGCCCTCCCAGAAAATCATCTTTAAAGGTATGACATTAAATAGTAAATTATAGATGGTGGTGGTCATGATTTATATAATTATAATGTGTTTGAATCTTTTAGGGAAATCATTAAAAGAGATGGAGGAGAGTCTGTCAAGTTATGGAGTGAAAACTGGATGTAAACTTATGATGATTGGAAAAAGGGTACAACTGTATTTCATTTTAAATATAATATACTAGCACACATTTTTCTTATCTCTGTGTTAATTTATACAATCACTGTTCACTGTCTTTTCAAAGTCTGCCAGTCTTTTACCAATAAATGTGGAATTTTGTTGAATTAGCTTTTTGAGGAAGCAATTAATTTGTATCAGTTCAACAGAACAGTCCAGAAGAAGAAGCAGAACTCAAGAAGTTGAAGGATATTGAAAAATCTGTTGATCAAACTGCAAAAAAACTGGAAAAAGTGGATGGAGAACTCACTGGGCTTAAGAATGTAAGTAAATTAGAATTACAGTGACATGAAAAGACTAAAGTTATTATATTTCTAATTTACAAATACTTATTTTACAGGGTTTTTTGGCCAAAGACCTTCAAGCAGAGGCTTTGAACAAACTGGACCATAGAGTGAAAGCTGCAGCGGAACAATTTATGAAGATATTAGAACAGATAGATGCCATGGTAATTTGCTGTATATGATATTTATACTCATTGAAACGTTTATATTATTCACATTGTATATTTTCAACAGACATTACCGGAACATTTTAATGACTGCAAAATAAAAAAGAAAGGGCTTGTGAAAACAGTCCAGGTAAATAAATCCCATAGCAATAAAATTATATATTTATTAAGGTACATTTCTTAACATTGTATTTTGTCTTTTAGAATTTCCTGGCTCAGTGTGACAGAATTGAAGCATGCATATCAGACCACGTAACAAAGATCCAGTCTAAAAATCTGGCCTTGGCCGAATAACCGTCGGCTGAGTTTTACACTGTTCCATGAGCAGTGACTGTACAGGAAGCTTCAAGTGTGGAGCTGTTTGAATTATTTATTTACTGTGTTTACAGAAAACTGTGCTGTGTTTCACTGTAAAGAAATAACAATGAAAATCTGGCTGATTGATCCAGCCACAAAATGTTCGAAATTATGTGTACCAGTAACCTAAACTAAGTTGGCCAATTCAGATATTTTTAAATAAACTTATGTCAGTAAATTAGGCTACTCGTACTATCTTGGGGAATAACCGAAACAAGAGTTTGAGTTAGTGAAAGTTTCTTCGTTAAAATACAGTCATAACATCACACATTCGTCTTAAGATCAGTGGTTCTCAGCCCCATTAAAACCAACTATTGGCATACATGAAAATCATAGACAATCGAGGTGGACTTCCCGGGTGCAGACGTCATTTATAGGCAATATTTTAGTGCTGGAATGTTGAAGCCGATTTGAACAGCTGTTGGAGCCAAATTCCATACATAGTCATTTGTTATGATGGGGTGACCTACTTGCTGTGGCAAGGGCAGATGCTATCTAATGAATAGCTATTACAAGCTGGAGTTTACCCCCGTGAATGAAGAGAAACTGGTCAATCATTATGGCCCATATCTGGATTAATAAATATCAAAATATAAACATAAATTGGAACATAGAGAAGGCTAAACCACTGATTTTTAAGCCCAAAATAATGGGTGTGACGCAAAAAGTTAGTGCTACTTGTCAATGTAGGTAAATAGCTGAAGCTTGCGGGGAAAAATTGTCCCTATTAGGCTTCATTGAGCTAGGGGGTTAGGATTGTCCACTTCTATACACACTCAGATGGAAACTCGCAGAAAATCAGGACTAGCGCAATGATTTATGAGGTACACTTGTATAAAATACTTCACCAGTGTAATTGGACCAGGTTTAAGACTATTATATATATTTATGTTTCACTTTGAGGAGTATTTGAAATGATTATGCAACCCAACCCCCAGAGAGAACCACTGAAATAGATAAAAGTCCAGTTGTATCCAGCGTTTGTGTGTACATACTTTCTAGTGAGACACTTATAAATGTGCAAATATGCTTAAAAGCTGAGGGATTAAAAAGTGGGATCCAGCAGTAAGCGTGCACGAATGACTTTGAGGTATACCACATTCAAGACTTCATAAATAAAGATACATAAATGAAGATAAGATATAGTAGTGATTTAGCTTCTATACTATATTTCTGTTTTAGTCGTCCTTGTCCTTTGCCCCGTGTTTCAGAATGCGAGTGAATGCCACATAGTTGAAGTTTCCTTTCTTGTCTATTGGAGCTTCACGGAAAAGTTCGTCGACATCTTCATCTGTGAACCTGTCTCCCATAGTGGTCAGCAGCTCGCGCAGATATTCCTCCTGAATAATACCTGCGCAAGATTTTCATGAGTTTAATCAAAATCAGCCACAATACAAAATGGCCACTGCTTCGGTTTTCTTGACTCTTTTGTGGTATAGTATTAATATACCACAAGTAACTCACCAGTTCCTTCTTCATCAAAGCAGGCAAAAGCATTTCGAATCACGTCTTCAGGATCGGTGCCGTTCAGCTTCTCTCCAAACATGGTCAAGAACATCGTGAAGTTTATTGGTCCAGGTGCTTCGTTCATCATTGCCTCCAAGTAATCTTCTGCTGGGTTTTTACCTAGAAAAAAAACAGGTTTTACATTTATTTCAACCGGAGACTGCAGCCAACTATGTTTAAAAATGTTGACCCAACAGACCAACCCCAAACCACAGACCCATTAAAAAAAAGAAAGAAAAAAAGCAGGCCATTACAGTAGAATATGATAATATAAAAGCATGCATAAATAATAACAGTTTCAATGTGCTTGTTTGAATAATATTTACAGTCTATGGTTTGAATGCAGTTGTAGTTTTGTTACTAAAATGCTGTTTTGATTGCTTTCTCATCAATCATTAGCTGTAGTCAAATGACAACCTTACCCAAAGAGGCCAGCATATCATGGAGATCTTCTTTGTCAATGAAGCCGTCTCTGTTTTGGTCGATCATGTTGAAGGCCTCTTTGAACTCTTGGATTTGAGACTGGTCAAACATTGCAAACACATTAGAGGTTGCACGCTGGGGGCGCTTCTTAGTGTTCTTTCCCTTGGCCTTTTTGCTGGACATTGTGACAACTGGGTTCGTACCTCCTCCTTGTTAAAAAAAAAATGTAATAATTACAATACAGCATCATGACATTATCATTATCAAATACATATTAACCATGTAACTTGCGAACTACTTTAAGGTTGACAAATACTGATGATTTGGTCACATAAAAACATTTCTTGTCCTTGACAGTTCTTAATGACAAATAGAGAATACATGGCAATAGCCAGTGACGTTAACGGGCACTCAAAAATCTAGCTGCAAATATCCATCAGAAAATACAAATGCCTTTGTTTAATTATTTAAAAAAAGGGAATTCAATTTGAACTTAATAAAAACTGCAATAAGAACATGTGCAGTGAAAAAATATAACCAATGCATGCTTAAAAGCTGCTATACCCATTCAAATAAGTTAGCTAGCTAAGCTAACTGGCTAACTCGAGTGACCCACATCACTTCAGAGTCCTGGCTTTGAAACGCAGATCAGAAACACATTATATAATTCCTACGAAAAAACAATGTAGAGCTTTACAACGTTGATTAGACGTGACTCACTTAAAAAATAACGGCTATTTCTCGCCAGGTATGTCCTCATAAACCGAGCACTTCTCCTCGATGTTTTGATCTTACACTTCCGGTCTATCGTTGAGACTGCATTATTTTTTATTTACAATTTTCATATGAAAGATTACTTTGGTAAACCGTAGATAGATTTATACGGGTTGAGATAGCCCTCTTTACAAGTAATAGTAAATAAATATAATAATATTCCAATTATCATTAAATACATAGATGACATGATGACAGGTATTGATATCTGGGTAGGTGCAAGAGCTTTGAAATAAGATTCAAAAAGTAAAAATAACAAATACGGGTTTCTCTCTAGTTTTGCTAGCTGTCTGCAGCCCCGTTATTATAATAGATCCATGGCCCCGACTCACTCTCGGGTGCGTCCGATTTGTTAAATCAACTTTCTTACGCTTTATTTCGCGTCTGTATAATTCCTATCTCAATGAAGCATTTGATTGGTAGAAGTGGCTTTTAACATATCTTAACATGTGTTACATGTATGTTAGCCAAACCTGTAGCTGCCCTCATCAGAGGAAGAAACAAAGAGGAATACTAGTGGAATTTGATGGAGTAAAATCCTGGGCTCACAGGCGCCCCCTATCTTGAAGCTAGCCTCACTTAGGGATTTATTTATGGAAAAACTGCAGAGGGAATATGTTTGAACTTTATTATAGCAATAAGCAGAGAAAACAGTAATAATAATGCATCAGTTTTATATAGCACTTTTTGGGACACTCACATGACCTTATTAATTCACTTCATACACAGTGGAGATAAACTACTATAGCCACACAGCAGAGGTTTTGCTGTAGGAATGTAGGAATGTTATGGACAGGAAGTAAAGAAAGTTGATTTAACAAATACAGATCTGGCCCCGGTGATCCAAGATGGCGCCCTATTCAAATGAAAGACTCGTGCTCAGTGGCGCTTTGTGCCAGCACGGTCGCTGACATATTAGCGGAACTCGCCTGTATTTGGGCATCGTCTGGTCCTCCCGGTTCTGCGCAGTGGATGAACTCCAATGATGCGAAGCGCGAAATACGCGTGTGTGGGTCTCATGCACGCACACAGAGAATCGGCCGCGCTTTGACCAATCAGAGCTGCTGATCAGAGCGGGAGTTAGAGCGGGAGCCAGACGGGCAGAGTTTGTGGCACTAAAGTGTAGATTTAAAGAAAACCAAAGGATTTAAGAAGAAAAAAAGTTCAGGATGACAAGGGACACTAAAATCCCCACAAAATACAATCTTTATGAAAGCTGTGGGTTCTCTGTCAGCTGAGGTCGAGCTGTTTTAGTTTACAATGAGTTCTATGGGGAAAATTTCTGGGTAGCCCAGGTGAATTTAGTCTGGTTTAGTCTGCAGTACCGAGAAATTCCCCGAGCACATGGGTTCTTCAGCTCCAAGCTAGTAATACCCTATCCAGTTATCATAATATTGTAGATCCATGATACAGATACTGTGCCGCAACAGTGTTGCTTGTGCTGCTCTATACCAACACCTGGTGTATTTTATAAATCATTGCATACAACTCACGGATTCAATGACCTTTACATACTTGTTTACAAAATGTCATTGAGTGTTTTATATATTTTTATTCAAGTTCATGTACAAAGGTTTTCCATTCAGTCTATTATGTTTTTAGGACACTATCTCCCCAGCTTTCGTGAATATCAATATAAAACATGAATCAGACCACCTGTCATTAAAGCAAAAAAATCCAGTTTTCACACCAGTGTGTTACAAAGGAAATATTTTTTTTTTTTAATTTGTGAGTAAATACAAGGCAAGGCAAGTTTATTTGTATAGCACAATTCACATAAGGCAATTCAAAGTGCTCAACAAAATAAGAAAGCCTTAAAATTATAAATAATCACAGGAGATTAAAAAGAAAGATAAAAATATGAAATCCCTCAGTTGTATGCACAGCTAAAAAGAACTGTCTTTAACCTAGTTTTAAACATTGTCAGAGAGGAGGCCTGTCTCACATCTTCAGGAAGATTGTTCCAGATTTTAGCAGCATCCATCCATCCATCCATTTTCTTCCGCTTCATCCGTTGCCGGGTCGCGGGGGCAGCAGTCTAAGCAGAGACGCCCAGACTTCCCTATCCACACACACCTCCTCCAGCTCGTCCGGGGGGACCCCAAGGCGTTCCCAGGCCAGCTGAGAGACATAGTCTCTCCAGCGTGTCCTGGGTCTTCCCCGGGGCCTCCTCCCGGTGGGACGTGCCTGGAACACCTCCCCAGGGAGGCGTCCAGGAGGCATCCTGAACAGATGCCCGAGCCACCTCAACTGGTTCCTCTCGACGTGGAGAAGCAGCGGCTCTACTCCGAGTGATCGAGCTCCTCACCCTATCTCTAAGGGAGCGCCCAGCCACTCTGCGGAGGAAGCTCATTTCGACCGCTTGTATCCGCGATCTCGTTCTTTCGGTCATTACCAGTGTTGGGCACGTTACTTTGAAAAAGTAATTAGTTATAGTTACTAGTTACTTCTCCCAAAAAGTAACTGAGTTACTAACGGAGTTACTCCACTATAAAAGTAACTAGTTACCAGTAAAAGTAACTATTGCGTTACTTTTTCGTTTTGTTCTGGAACATAATGTGCACCCGACGTGCGCATTTTTACCTTTAACAGTGCCAATATTTCCATCTAGAAAAGGCTGTTTTGCTGCTGAAGTCCTGTTCACTCTTCATCTCTCTCTGTGCTGTAAGCACTAAACACCAACACCCGCCACTGTGAATGTGGAAACACCGGTGACGAGCGGTGAGGCTGGTGAAGCACTGACTTCAGTCCAATCAGATGAACATATACATCATATAAATCAAGTGGACAGTTTGTTTGGCTACAGCAGAATATGTTTCATGGCCGCATTGTTTGTTCATACAAAACGCAAAACTATGAGTTATGGGTCTTACCTTATAAATGACCTGCACAGTCCACTTCAGTTCAGACCAGTTCCTTGTTTAAATCCAGTTAATGGTTTGAGCGTAGATATGTAATCCTCCATTTGGAAATGAGTCCAATGAGTTTTAAAAAGTAAAACAAAACGCATGTGTCCTCCATAAACTCCTGTGTTTTGCTAGCGGCAGCCGAGTGCATCAAATTTCTAAAATCAACCGTCTTACACTTCACCTCTCTTTCTTATCATTCCTATAGTAATTGAAAAATTACCCTATGTGCATTTTAGATTATGTAAAAATGGGTTATATGTATGTTAGCCAAACCTGTTGCTGTCCTTAGCAGATAAACCAGGAAAAGCAAGGAGCTTATCGATGGAATTGTATGCAGCCGACTTCTGCGCTCACATGAGCTCCTCTGAGGCTGGCCTCACGGTGATACAAGCCGTGGTTGAGCGCGATTAAGACCCATATTTGTTTCAAAAACCCAATTTATGAGCCATCCTCTCAACTGTAGACATGTGGATTGTAAAGGAAATATGTTTTACATCAGCCAATAATTGCTGAGAGGTTTTCTCATCCTCCCTTCTCTCATGACAACACGTTCATTGTGCGTCTTGAGTAACGCGCAGTAACGGGATGTCGGAAATGATAACATCGTTATAGTTACTGTCAAAGTAATTAGTTAGATTACTCGTTACTGAAAAAAGTAACGCCGTTATTCCCATCACTGGTCATTACCCAAAGCTCATGACCATAGGTGAGGGAGGGAACAAAGATTGACCGGTAAATCGAGAGCTTCGCCTTTCGGCTCAGTACCCTCTTTACCACAACGGTCCGTACAGAGACCGCATCACTGCGCACGCTGCACCGATCCGCCTGTCAATCTCACGCTCCATCCTTCCCTCACTCGTGACCAAGACCCCGAGATAGTGAGGTGACGTTCCACGTCCCAAGAGCCAGATGTTGGGTGCGTGGACTGGGTCGTCGAGGTCTCTGCCTTCGACTGCTACCCAGTCCTGGCTGCACCTCGCCACCACGGACCCCTCTGCAGATGGTCTGAGCACGGCCCCGTGGGCTAAGGCCCGGCCACCAGGCGCTCGCTTGCGAGCCCCGACCCCAGGCCTGGCTCCAGGGTGGGGCCCCGGCTGCGCCATGCCGGGCGACGTCACCGTTCTAATATAAGTGCTGTCCATGGTTGGCTTCGGACTGCGCTTCGTCTGACTCGTCACTTGAGACCTGTCTGCCATGGGAGACCCTACCAGGCGCATGAAGCCCCAGACAGCATAGCTCCCAGGATCATCCGAGTGCTCAAACTCCCCCACCACGTTAAGGTGGCAGTCCAAGGGGGATTTTAGCAGCATGAATCTGAATAGCAGCCTCCCCATGTTTAGTCCTGACTCTGGGCACTAACAGGAGTCCAGTCCCTGTGCTCCTCAGAGTCCGGGCTGGTTCATATGGGACTAACATGTCACTAATATACTGTATTTTGGTGCAAGGCCATGTAGAGACTTGTACACAAGCAGAGCTGTTTTAAAGTCTATTCTCTGAGCCACAGGAAGCCAGTGCAGAGACCTGAGGACTGGACTAATGTGGTCGTACTTCCTGGTTCTAGTCAGGACTCGAGCTGCAGCATTTTTAATGTACTGCAGCTGCTTTACGGCCTGTTTGGACAGACCTGCGAGCAGGCCATTGCAGTAGTCTAACCTACTGGAGACAAATGCATGGATAAGAATATCCAAGTCTGCTTTAGACACTATGTTTTTGATCCTTGCAAGGTTTTTTAGGTGGTAAAAAGCTGCTGATGTTACTGATTTGATGTGGATGTTAAAATTTAAGTCTGAGTCCAGTATTACCCCTAGATTTCTGACCTTGTTTGAAGGGTTTGTGAATATATAAATATTATTGCTTGCTTATTAATATAGACACTGTTCTATGGAGTTTCAAAAATTGCTTACAACTGTACTTTAAACAGCTTACAAAACAGAAATGTACAGTACATAGATATACTATCTCATACATTGGACTTTGGTCTGTGAATCAGCCATATGTTCATACCATATAGGCGTACATGTTCCTTACATTGAAGCCATATGGTTCATTCTGTTGTGTCATGTTTCCAAAATGTATG